TATATATATATATATACACAACATATCATATACTGGACATAAACATACATTTTGTAAAGGGAGAAAATCAGTCTGTTGTGGAACATATCTTTGTTTTAATGAATATATACCTGACATATACTGAACATAAAACATACAGTTTAAAGGGACAAAACAACATTTTGTGAGTATATATATATAACATATACATAACATATATATATATATATACTGAACATATACATAACATATCATATACTGGACATAAACATACATTTTGTAAAGGGAGAAAATCAGTCTGTTGTGGAACATATCTTTGTTTTAATGAATATATACGTGACATATACTGAACATAAAACATACAGTTGAAAGGGGACTTCTATCCGAACCCACACGTAGTGGGGAAAATATAGGTTTAACAAAACAACATTTTGTGAACTTATACATAACATATACTGAACTTATATACATATATATATATATATATATCATATATTAAGACGCAAACTCGATCTCATGTTAGGAGAATTTCCAGCGCTGCTGTAAGGACTTCATCCGATTTTGATTTTTTGCCATAGTTTGTTTTTACTAGAAAGTTAGAGTTTGCAGTTACTTGGAAATGTACTGACTTAATGGGTGGTTAATGAGTAATGAGAGAGAGCATTTCTTGCCATAAAAATAGGGATTCTGTATTTGGAAACTGATACATTTTCCCATAAATTTAGGTAATTAGTACTAGACCCTGTGCATTTGCACAAATGTAAATAAAGTATTGTGAGTTATTTATATGCATATAATGATTAATTATTTTTCTTTCACTTTTATCAGGCCAAATTTACAACTAAAAGAGTGAGAATTTTTTTTTTTTTAAAAAATTGCGTTTATCTAATTAGATGTAATGTATATTTGGGTACGTTTTATTTTGTGATTTATTTATTATTTATTTAGGAATTTCAAATAAGTTTTTTATTTTTGTAAAAAAATGAATTTAATGTAACCACAATAATAACATCTAATCACATTATACGGTCAATATATAATACGGTCAACTGTTAGTAATCAAAAATTTAAAATGATTTTTGTTGTTTTGAAGTGATTAGTATTGACTATTTAATAATTAAATGAAATATTAAATACATTAAAAGTAACGGTTTGTGGAGGGAAATGGTTAATTGCCACATAGGTAAAATTAAATAGGTTTTATTAAATGCTATTAGCTAGTAATTATGTATATAGATTAGTGTTTAAATTAGTCAATAACTGATACAATAATTTTCTAGCACATATGCAAATAAAAACAAGATTTTTCGCTATATTGCTAATACTAGTACTACACGGGTACTTGTTAAAAATTTATATTTAAAAATTAAATAATAATCACAACAAAATTTGTTTTATTTGCATTTAAAATGAGCGTCACTTACACGA